CAGAGGAAGCTGCTCAGGTAACATGCACATACCCTAATGTTAATGCTGCAGACCCTAATGTTGATGCTGCAGACCCTAATGTTAATGCTGCAGACCCTAATGTTGATGCTGCAGACCCTAATGTTGATGCTGCAGACCCTAATGTTGATGCTGCAGACCCTAAAGTTGATGCTGCAGACCCTAATGTTGATGCTGCAGACCCTAATGTTAATGCTGCAGACCCTAATGTTAATGCTGCAGACCCTAATGTTGATGCTGCAGACCCTAATGTTGATGCTGCAGACCCTAAAGTTGATGCTGCAGACCCTAATGTTGATGCTGCAGACCCTAATGTTGATGCTGCAGACCCTAATGTTGATGCTGCAGACCCTAATGTTAATGCTGCAGACCCTAATGTTGATGCTGCAGACCCTAAAGTTGATGCTGCAGACCCTAATGTTGATGCTGCAGACCCTAATGTTGATGCTGCAGACCCTAATGTTAATGCTGCAGACCCTAATGTTAATGATGCAGACTCTAATGTTAATGCTGCAGACCCTAATGTTAATGCTGCAGACCCTAATGTTAATGCTGCAGACCCTAATGTTAATGCTGCAGACCCTAATGTTGATGCTGCAGACCCTAACGTTAATGCTGCAGACCCTAATGTTAATGCTGCAGACCCTAATGTTGATGCTGCAGACTCTAATGTTGATGTTGCAGACCCTAACGTTGATGCTGCAGACCCTAACGTTGATGCTGCAGACCCTAATGTTGATGCTGCAGACCCTAATGTTGATGCTGCAGACCCTAATGTTGATGCTGCAGACCCTAAAGTTGATGCTGCAGACCCTAATGTTGATGCTGCAGACCCTAATGTTGATGCTGCAGACCCTAAAGTTGATGCTGCAGACCCTAATGTTGATGCTGCAGACCCTAATGTTGATGCTGCAGACCCTAATGTTAATGCTGCAGACCCTAATGTTAATGCTGCAGACCCTAATGTTAATGCTGCAGACCCTAATGTTGATGCTGCAGACCCTAAAGTTGATGCTGCAGACCCTAATGTTGATGCTGCAGACCCTAATGTTAATGCTGCAGACCCTAATGTTAATGCTGCAGACCCTAATGTTAATGCTGCAGACCCTAATGTTAATGCTGCAGACCCTAACGTTGATGATGCAGACCCTAACGTTGATGCTGCAGACCCTAACGTTAATGCTGCAGACCCTAATGTTGATGCTGCAGACTCTAATGTTGATGTTGCAGACCCTAATGTTGATGCTGCAGACCCTAATGTTGATGCTGCAGACCCTAATGTTGATGCTGCAGACCCTAATGTTGATGCTGCAGACCCTAATGTTAATGCTGCAGACTCTAATGTTGATGCTGCAGACCCTAATGTTGATGCTGAAGACCCTAACGTTGATGCTGCAGACCCTAATGTTGATGCTGCAGACCCTAACGTTAATGCTGCAGACCCTAATGTTGATGCTGAATACCCTAAAGTTGATGCTGCAGACCCTAATGTTGATGCTGCAGACCCTAATGTTGATGCTGCAGACCCTAACGTTAATGCTGCAGACCCTAATGTTGATGCTTCAGACCCTAATGTTAATGCTGCAGACCCTAATGTTGATGCTGCAGACCCTAATGTTGATGCTGCAGACCCTAATGTTGATGCTGCAGACCCTAATGTTGATGCTGCAGACCCTAATGTTGATGCTGCAGACCCTAACGTTAATGCTGCAGACCCTAACGTTAATGCTGCAGACCCTAATGTTAATGCTGCAGACCCTAATGTTAATGCTGCAGACCCTAATGTTGATGCTGCAGACCCTAATGTTAATGCTGCAGACCCTAATGTTAATGCTGCAGACCCTAATGTTAATGCTGCAGACCCTAATGTTAATGCTGTAGACTCTAATGTTAATGCTGCAGACTCTAATGTTAATGCTGCAGACACTAATGTTGATGCTGCAGACCCTAATGTTGATGCTGCAGACCCTAATGTTAATGCTGCAGACCCTAATGTTAATGCTGCAGACCCTAATGTTAATGCTGCAGACCCTAATGTTGATGCTGCAGACCCTAATGTTAATGCTGCAGACACTAATGTTGATGCTGCAGACCCTAATGTTGATGCTGCAGACCCTAATGTTGATGCTGCAGACCCTAATGCTGATGCTGCAGACCCTAACGTTAATGCTGCAGACCCTAATGTTGATGCTTCAGACCCTAATGTTGATGCTGCAGACCCTAATGTTAATGCTGCAGACCCTAACGTTGATGCTGCAGACCCTAATGTTAATGCTGCAGACCCTAATGTTAATGCTGCAGACCCTAATGTTACTGCTGCAGACCCTAACGTTGATGCTGCAGACCCTAATGTTAATGCTGAAGACCCTAATGTTAATGCTGCAGACCCTAATGTTAATGCTGAAGACCCTAATGTTGATGCTGCAGACCCTAATGTTGATGCTGCAGACCCTAATGTTAATGCTGCAGACCCTAATGTTACTGCTGAAGACCCTAACGTTGATGCTGCAGACCCTAACGTTGATGCTGCAGACCCTGATGTTAATGCTGAAGACCCTAATGGTAATGCTGAAGACCCTAATGTTGATGCTGCAGACCCTAACGTTGATGCTGCAGACCCTAACGTTGATGCTGCAGACCCTAACGTTAATGCTGCAGACCCTAATGTTAATGCTGCAGACCCTAATGTTACTGCTGCATACCCTAACGTTGATGCTGCAGACCCTAATGTTGATGCTGCAGACCCTAATGTTAATGCTGCAGACCCTAATGTTGATTCTGCAGACCCTAACGTTGATGCTGCAGACCCTAACGTTCATGCTGCAGACCCTAATGTTGATGCTGCAGACCCTAATGTTGATGCTGCAGACCCTAATGTTAATGCTGCAGACCCTAATGTTAATGCTGCAGACCCTAATGTTGATGCTGCAGATCCTAATGTTGATGCTGCAGACCCTAATGTTAATGCTGCAGACCCTAATGTTACTGCTGCAGACCCTAACGTTGATGCTGCAGACCCTAATGTTGATGCTGCAGACCCTAATGTTAATGCTGCAGACATTAATGTTGATGCTGCAGACCCTAACGTTGATGCTGCAGACCCTAATGTTCATGCTGCAGACCCTAATGTTGATGCTGCAGACCCTAATGTTGATGCTGCAGACCCTAATGTTGATGCTGCAGACCCTAATGTTAATGCTGCAGACCCTAATGTTGATGCTGCAGATCCTAATGTTAATGCTGCAGATCCTAATGTTAATGCTGCAGACCCTAATGTTCATGCTGCAGACCCTAATGTTGATGCTTCAGACCCTAATGTTGATGCTGCAGACCCTAATGTTGATGCTGCAGATCCTAATGTTAATGCTGCAGACCCTAATGTTAATGCTGCAGACCCTAATGTTGATGCTGCAGACCCTAATGTTGATGCTGCAGACCCTAATGTTGATGCTTCAGACCCTAATGTTGATGCTGCAGACCCTAATGTTGATGCTTCAGACCCTAATGTTGATGCTGCAGACCCTAATGTTCATGCTGCAGACCCTAATGTTGATGCTTCAGACCCTAATGTTGATGCTGCAGACCCTAATGTTGATGCTTCAGACCCTAATGTTGATGCTGCAGACCCTAAAGTTACTGCTGCAGACCCTAATGTTACTGCTGCAGACCCTAATGTTACTGCTGCAGACCCTAACGTTGATGCTGCAGACCCTAATGTTACTGCTGCAGACCCTAATGTTAATGCTGCAGACTCTAATGTTAATGCTGCAGACCCTAATGTTAATGCTGCAGACCCTAATGTTGATGCTGCAGACTCTAACGTTGATGCTGCAGACCCTAATGTTAATGCTGCAGACCCTAATGTTAATGCTGCAGACCCTAATGTTACTGCTGCAGACCCTAACGTTGATGCTGCAGACCCTAATGTTGATGCTGCAGACCCTAATGTTAATGCTGCAGACCCTAATGTTGATGCTGCAGACCCTAATGTTGATGCTGCAGACCCTAATGTTACTGCTGCAGACCCTAATGTTAATGCTGCAGACCCTAATGTTGATGCTGCAGACCCTAATGTTGATGCTTCAGACCCTAATGTTGATGCTGCAGACCCTAACGTTACTGCTGCAGACCCTAATGTTACTGCTGCAGACCCTAATGTTACTGCTGCAGACACTAACGTTGATGCTGCAGACCCTAATGTTACTGCTGCAGACCCTAATGTTAATGCTGCAGACTCTAATGTTAATGCTGCAGACCCTAATGTTAATGCTGCAGACCCTAATGTTGATGCTGCAGACTCTAACGTTGATGCTGCAGACCCTAATGTTAATGCTGCAGACCCTAATGTTAATGCTTCAGACCCTAATGTTGATGCTGCAGACCCTAATGTTGATGCTGCAGACCCTAATGTTAATGCTGCAGACCCTAATGTTAATGCTGAAGACCCTAATGTTGATGCTGCAGACCCTAATGTTAATGCTGAAGACCCTAATGTTAATGCTGAAGACCCTAATGTTAATGCTGCAGACCCTAATGTTAATGCTGCAGACCCTAATGTTAATGCTGAAGACCCTAATGTTAATGCTGCAGACCCTAATGTTAATGCTGCAGACCCTAATGTTAATGCTGCAGACCCTAATGTTAATGCTGCAGACCCTAATGTTACTGCTGCAGACCCTAATGTTGATGCTGCAGACCCTAATGTTAATGCTGCAGACCTTAATGTTGATGCTGCAGACCCTAATGTTGATGCTGCAGACCCTAATGTTGATGCTGCAGACCCTAATGTTAATGCTGCAGACCCTAATGTTACTGCTGCAGACCCTAACGTTGATGCTGCAGACCCTAATGTTGATGCTGCAGACCCTAATGTTAATGCTGCAGACCTTAATGTTGATGCTGCAGACCCTAATGTTGATACTGCAGACCCTAATGTTGATGCTGCAGACCCTAAAGTTGATGCTGCAGACCCTAATGTTGATGCTGCAGACCCTAATGTTGATGCTGCAGACCCTAATGTTAATGCTGCAGACCCTAATGTTAATGCTGCAGACCCTAATGTTACTGCTGCAGACCCTAATGTTAATGCTGCAGACCCTAATGTTAATGCTGAAGACCCTAATGTTGATGCTGCAGACCCTAATGTTAATGCTGCATGTCAGGCATTCATTAGGAGGCCTGACTGAGATGTTTTCCTTGACCACGGCTCTTTATTGGACTATAAAAGTCGAGTTTTGGTATCTCTTTGTGGGGCATCGACTCAGTTTCAGCCTGCAGATTTATGGAGTGTGTATTTTATCGTAACACACACACACGCCTGGCATTTGAATGAAATCAATGCCTTCTGCTGGGTTATTTTTGGCTTGAGTTGCTTTTTTCATAGCGGGCTCATGTGCACATGTTCTAAATGTCACTGTATGGTCTGTTCACTGCAGCATTTGCAGGTAAGTGGTGATGTGAAGAAAAGGGGGATTTTCTGATACTGAGCTGGTTTTACCTTTAGGCCACTGACCGGCCGTGTGTGTGTGTGTGTGTGTGTGTGTGTGTGTGTGTGTGTGTGTGTGTGTGTGTGTGTGTGTGTGTGTGTGTGAGTGAGTGATTCACTCAGGTGTGTTAATCCATTCTTCCTGGTTGCTGTCCCTGGCCCTCCTTCATGCCTCTCACCATCACCATTCTCTTCCTCCTTCAGCCCCCCGCTAACCCAACCCTGCATCCACAACCCAGTGATCCTTTGGACTGTCTTCAAAGGGCGTCACGGTTTTATGAGCAATCAGGACACACGCATACTCAAGCTTACGAGTGCAGAGCCACACACACTCACTCACCTGGACACACACCGTCTTCTGAATCTGCCAGTATTTAGAAACATGTAACCTTAAGAGGGCAGCAGAGTTTCACTCAGGGAGAATTCTCATGGATGGAATGAATATATGGGAATGTTTGGCTTAAGGCTTTCAATCCCTCTCTTTTCTGATTCACCATAAACCCAATTTCCTTCCATACCTCCTTCTTCTGTGACTTTTTGCACAGTCCTCCCTCTACGGGTCTCCAGGCTGAGATTGACAGATCTGGTTATGAAGTCTAATTAAAACTCATTAGGCTTTCTGATGGCTTTTCCTGCCCCTTAATTAGTTAGTATTAGTTGACCTGGCGTCGTGTATCACATTAGGTTATTGAATAAAAAGGAGGTAAACAGGCTGAGGTGGAGGTGGGATCACCCCAGGGTGATAACCCCTCAAAGCTTAATTCAGTTGCTAAACTGATCCGAATGCTCTCTCTGACTGACACACACATCCATGCATGCACAGATACAACCCATCAAATCATCAACCAGACCTGAAACCCACGTAAGATGATCACCAACCTCCTGGAGCTCTTTAAGGTGAACTTCCTTCTAGCTCCTTCATTTTTCACCCTCGGTAACCGAACCATCTGGAAAAACCTGCAAACACCTTTCTCCGTCTCCTGCTGCTAATTTGAATAACCCCATGACACGGAAGCCAGATCACCAAACCTTTCACAGACGGGCAGCGGATCAGATGTTGAGACATTCATCAAAGCAGATGTTTTCTGCCTTTTCTCACTTAACCCTAAAGACGGGACTCTCCTCATGCAGTCTCCAACCATACTACCTGGTGTGAATTAAAGGGCTGCTCCAAAATGTTTCTAAGAGAGGTAAACTAACAAAACTGTACTTTGCACCGATAGTCAACCCATAAAACAGCAGAAGAGCCAGTGGTCTTCCTACTTTCATTTAGATAAGTTCACACATTTAACGTGAATTTAATTGAACTGATCTGTTTCTTTCAGCGTGTGTCCATGTTCGTTAACGTAAAGTCTCCAAGCTATTCACAAAAACCCAACACCCGAGGATCTGTCGGAACATTTCCTGTAAAAGCCCACAGGTGTGTCATGCCAGGAAAAGCTGTCAGGTCGCATAAGGAATGATCAGATGATGTCACTCGCTGCTCAGATGGTCAGAAGATATTTATCTGATCAAACAGGAAACGTGTGTCTGTGTGTGTGTTTTCCACAGAGACACTGAGTAATGAGTCCGTGGCTTCTGCTGCCAACAAGATTTGTCTGTGATGGCCACCGCATGCATCCCATTGACCCATTAGGGCTATGAACCTCCTCCACACTTTCAAGATCACTCATGCATCTGAAGGTTGTTTAAAAAAATTGGTTTATTCAGTTTTCTTTCTGAGATCAGTTGGCCCTGCAACCTCTCCTTCCTCCTGAGTCTCGACTGCGCTCCTGCCTCCCTTCTTCTAGGCATGCACAGCAGTTGCCGAGCTGCATATTGAAAGGATACGCAGTCTCACTTCATGAAGCTGTGAGTCTCATTTAAAAAGATGCAGCAGCTGTGGCGACACGCACGCCTCGCCTCGTGAGTCCACGCTCCCCTTGCACTGGGAGTGAGGCGAGAGGAAGCTTTACAATGGTGAGACAAATTGCGTTTTCTTATTTTTCATTCAGCTGATTTGTTTCTTCCCTCTTGCATTACCACCCGGCAACACATGTCGACCCCAGCCAAAGCTCCACCACTCCTGGTGATCCGGTTTCCTGTGCTGCTGTGTCCTTTGGAGCGGAAGGCCCATGGCAGAGGCAACGAGGGGGGCTAATTGGCCATGCCACGCTTTTAGGAGGTTGGGTAGCAACGATGGCAGTGGCAGGATGAGGTCGGAAGGTTTTTCCCACTGAAAGCATGAATCTACCCCATTGATAAACCTCTTGATCTTGGCGACATGCTGATGAAAAATTAGTCCGAAAATGAATGCTTTTATATTCCCAACGTCTCTCCGGCATTTCAGGGACTTCTAGGTCACGCGATGTCAAAGAGCTGAGCTGACTTCATTAATTAGAGGGAGAAAACCAAATTAGACAAAAGGATGATATAATGTAGAAAAGAGCTGCTTGTTGTCCCGAGACTATCTGAATAGGTTGATGCGCCCAGTAAACGCTCAGAACTGCACAATATTTAAAATGTGCACAAACAGCACAAACCCAACAAGGCAACTGGAAACTCATTCTTGCATTATTTCGAACTCTGCAGGACTCATTTACTAAATGCTGCATGTGCCGTGCAGACAGCTTCAGAAAAGACGACTCATTTAAACGTCCACCTGTTTGCATGCATGCATTCTGGAAAATACCCACGGGAATTAAAACAAAGCCTCCCCGACTTACAGCTTCCGTCCTGGAGCAGCGATAAAACATTTTAGTGATGCTAGTTTTCAGACATGTATAATTTAGGTTGGATACTCGATAGGGATGCATCGATTCCAATATTTTCCAAACTGACACAATACCGATACTTGGGTCTGAGTACTTGCCGATACCGATTACCGATAATTCTACCACACAAAAAAAATGCAATGAATTCTTCTCTGGTTTCAACAGGAAAAGACTGTGAGGTAGATTAAAAATAAAATATATTCATAGAAATGATCACAAAACTAAAATATTAGGTGATCAGAAACAACAAGTTACAGTGAAGCCACTTTCAGGCAACTGCATTGGTATCGGTATTGGTGCATCCCTAATATTCCCAAATGTCCATCAACAGCAGAAATAGCTAATTATTATGAGGCTTTAAAGGCGTGGCTCACTAAAGAGCCATTTTTAAAATCTTATTTTTCATTTTAATCAGTCACTCTGAGTTTTTCATGCAGGCTGAGCATGAAAATAGTCTCCTACACCTATCTCCTGCATCAGCTTCTGATAGAAAACAGGTGGTGAAACTCTAGGATTAGAAAAGTCTGTTGGATCTATGTCACACTGTCTCTTAACTTTCATGGACTCACCCAGCTGAGTCTGTTGTTGGCTTAGCGTTCAGGAAACAGCAGAGAACGTCTTGGCTAGTCGAAGCTAACCATTAGCATTAGCAACTACACCACACAGCAGAACTCCTTCAGGCTTGTGTTATTTGTGGAGATAAAACATCAGCGTTGCAGAGCAGATAGTCAGTGGTAGAGCCACACTGCTGTTAGCCAATCAGAGGTGAGATGTCCAAATATCAGGAGATAAGTCTCCACATCCTGTTGTCTGAAGCTACGTTCTCCAGCTGAGCTGTACTTCCTAGGGACAGCAGTAGCTTAGGAGGTAGAACGGGTTGTCCAGTAACCAGGTTCTATCCTGGCTCCGACCAGAGAATTCTGCTGCTGTGTCCTTGGGCAAGGCACTTAACCGGCCATGCCTGCTGGTGGTGGTCGGAGGGACCGGTGGCACCAGAGCTCGGCAGCCTCGCCTCTGTCAGTGCGCCCCAGGGCAGCTGTGGCTACATCGTAGCTCATCACCACCAGTGTGTGTGAATGGGTGAATGACTGGTTGTGTTGTGAAGCGCCTTGGGGGGTTGTAGAACCCTAAGAAGGCGCTATGCAAATACAGGCCATTCATCATTCCTGAAACTGGTGCATCTGAGCTCCCCGCCCCAGAGTATGACCTACAAGGCATTAATTCCTACTAGAGACCCCTGCAAATGTATCAAATAAATGAGTGAACCACGCCTTTAAACTGATGATTGAATAATGTGTCACTTTGGAAGGGCTTTACAACCTAAAACATAAAACTGGGTGCTCAAGTTTAAACCTACTGTGGATTTCTCTCTTCAGAAACGGGGTAGAGCTCATTTAGATCGTTTGTTTTCCTGACAGACTCCGCTTTAGACAAAAACTACACACTTCCTGCAGAGTTCAACAGAGTGGGAAGGTAATTCCAGATGCTTGGTGTTGCTCTCTTTGTCCAGTCAGAACCTGCTCTGCTGTGTCTTGGGGATGATTATCTCACAGACAAACCCAGCTGTGCCCAAGTTAGCTCACACACTCCAGCTACTGAGGTCCACTGATTTCATATTTAAGATGTTTGTTTTTGTTATTTTGCTTCAACACGACTGTTTTAAACACGTTTGTTTTAACCAGCCTCTGCAGGAACGTCATTTAACTTAGAAATAAAAATTTTAATCAGACGCGGTTCAGCAGAATCCGGCAAAAACGTACTTTAGACCCGACGGGCCAGCATGTCTCACCTTTCATCTAGCTGATAAGTCCTGGTGAATCTAAATTTAGAGGCAGTAGCTCACGCTTTGTTTTTCCGTCCTTTTTGTGTAATGCACCATTTCCACCATGTGATACGACCACCACCGTGCTTAACACTAAAGCTCACATTCCATTATCTACCCTCAATAATTCATTGCCATCAATAGTTTCTGATGAATGTGCTTCTGATCACTTGAAGACTACTTGAAGTCTGTTTTGATTGCTTGTACATGTAAATGAGAACAGTTGGTTGTCTTTATGTCTGTTTCATCTTATTTTGATCTTGTTTGTTTCATCTCACCTGTTTTTCTTTGCTGTAAGGCTACCTGTGTGTCTGTTGCTGCTGCCTCTTGGCCAGATCGTCATCGTAAATGAGAATGAGTTCTCAGTCAGTTCTAAGTAAAGGTTAAATAAAAAAATAAATAAAACATCTGGTTTGGGTTGAACGCCTCACCGTGACTCTTCTAAACACGTTCTTCATGACCAAAAACGCGTCTGTCTCGTCTGACCATAAACCGTTTCTAAGACGTGGTGTTTGAAGGTGTCTTCTATGTAAAATATCTGTTTCCACTTAAGCTTCGTTATTTTTACATTTTTAAATAACACAGCATCTTTAAAGAACAGTACATGTAGCCAACTGTTGGTCTTGTGGATGATAATCGACAGAATAATCCTGCAAATTCCAGAGTTACAACATTGTTTTCCTCATACGTTCACAGCTGCGCTCAAATGTTTCCCGTCCCTCCAGAAAGAGGACCGCTTGTGGAACAACAATATTCCAGGAGGTAATGCTGGAAACAGCCTCTGCTCTGAACAGCACACTGTGAGGACGGGTCATTATAGGGAAGTGCATCTATGCTATCGGGCTGGTTGGCTTTAAATCCTTCTGCAGTCTAAATAAAGCGACTTTTGGTCTCTAATGTTTTAATTCTGCTGGAATATCACCCAACAGGTTTATGAGAATAAACTGTTGAAACACTCCAACA